TGCGAGATATCACATAACAGATTGATAAGTTCGAACTCACGAAAACACCTCAAGGAGAAAACACATCCGCAGACGCCCTCGCTACGTTAACATCAAAATCGAATCCCACGATAAAGCGTGTGATACCAGTCGAAGGAATCGAAAAACCAAGCATCGATCTGTCACGTAAGGAGCGAAACTTCCCGAAAAAATACCACCACCGAATAGGGGCAATTATCACCAGAAGTAGGGCCAGAGACACAACCCAAGATGACATATTGAGATACAACCATATGAAGGAAATTTTAACGACCCCTACGACGAAGACATCGGGATATCAGAAAGGCCCGAACGAAGTTGTGTGCCATGCGCTCGGAGAAAAGGAATATCCTCGACCTCCCCCGAAGAGGCGGATCACCAACCCGACGCAAAAGCACACCAAATCCTCCAAGAAGAACTCGAAGGCAGTATCGTTTAGAGAATCCTGATCTACAATTACATCAATAAGGGTGAACTCCCAGATGAAAGAGGAGAGGCTAAGAAAAATAAAAGTATGGAGTTTGCATTACTGCATCATGGAAGAAAAATTGTACAAACGAAGCCTAGGTGAACCTTACCTCGTATGCGTATCCCCTAAAGACTCTTTCACGATCTTGAAGCAAACCCACGATGGGTCGTTCGGAAGTCACATGGGAGGCAGGTCCCTAGCCATCAAAATTAAAAAATACGGATACTATTGGCCGACTATCGCCGACGATTGCGAACAGTTTTCGCCAAGCATGCCCCCATGATACACAATCCCACTCAATAGCTCTCATTCATATATTCGCCGTACCCATTTATGAAATGGTCCATGGATATATTCAGACCGTTTCTAGTAGTGACCGACTACTTCACCAAATGGATCGAAGCCCAGGCATTTCTAAACGTCGCAACCGAAACAATGATCAACTTCGTATGGAGGAATGTCATATGCAGGCATGGACTTCCATACAAAATAGTCACCGACAATGGCTCCCAGTTAATATTCTAAGCATTCACGGAATTCAGCAAGAAGTGGAAGATAAAGATAAAAACAGTGAGTCCGAGATACCTGAAATGTAATGGTCATGCAAAAGCTGCGAACAAAACCATAATGAAAAATCTCAAGAAGAGACTCTACCTTAAAAAAGAAAGATGGACAGAAAAACTACACGGAGTCCTTTGGGCGTGCTGAACGACGCCGCACATCGCAACACAAGAAACCCCGTTCTCTCTCTCCTACGGAGTCGATGCGGTGATTCCGACGGAAATTGAAGTTCCAAGTCAACGGCACATTTTATGCCCAGAAAATGTCCAACTCAACGAATATTTATTAATTGATCAACTCGACATGATCGAAGAACGATGAGAGAAAGAATCAGTGCGAGTACAAAATTATCAATAAGCAGCGTCCCGCTACTACGACTCTAACGTGAGAAACCGTTCCTTATGTATCAGAGACTTAGTACTACGAAAAGTGTGCGATGGAACAAAAGAAGAAGGGCCAGGAAATATAGGAACGAGATGGGAAGGACCCTACAAAATAACCAAGGAAGTACGAGCTGGAGTCTACGACTTCGAAAATTATAGAACCGGCAAACCCGAAATGCGACCTTAGAATGCATTTAACCTCACATATTACAGATAAAAAGTTTGACACTTAGCCTACGGTTAAACAACAAACTAGGAGAACATCGAACCAAATAAAAAATAAAAAATGAACAACGACACGCTTGATCCCTGACAAGGGTACGTAGGCAGCTCGACATCGAGCACAGCCAAAACAAAATAAAAATTGAAATTACGTTAATGAACGAAATACATTCCACAACCTCATGAAGGTCCCAAAACAGATTCATGATCAGTATCTGTCTCCATTCTTTGAAAAAACATAGGGATAATTGATCAAATATCATCATACAAAGGTACTTACCCTAAAAAGTTCATTAACCCACAAAATATCCTTACATCTCGACAAGAATACAAAAACAAAATAAAAAAAAAACAGCCAGTCAGCTTGATTAACTGAGTCTGACGACAACTATGGAAGCTCGAGAAAATCCAAAGAAGGATCACACACCTTGGTCTTACCATGGTCAATAGTACAATCGAGATCCTTATCCTTGAGGCGCACTAACTCGGCGTCGATCTCGAATCCGCCTTCCAAATACTATGTTAACAAGTCAATACGCGCCCTCACGGTTTTCATCCGAATCTCGGCTTCCCTCTCTACCTTCAGATCCCTCAACTTTCCTTTAATCACTTCCAGCACTTTCTCATACTCTCCAGCGAGGGATCGACGAGCACGACGAGATTCCATCATGATCGCCGCCTCTCGACTTGAGAACTCCCTCTAAATCTTTTCCTCCATCGACCGGACCTCTTCCTAAAGCGCGATCTTCATTTGCTCAGCCTCCAACACCCTGTTCTGAAGAACAGACTTCTCCCTCTCGAGCTCGATCGACTTGCCGTTTAACCCCTGGATTTCCTCGATGCATCTTGAATCTAGCTCCTCCGCCTTTGATACAGCAGCCCTCAGCTGTTGAATACGTTCTGATATCCATTGACGTCTTTCTTACAGGGAAGATCGGCAAAACGCTTCGCCACCATCGCAGCATACTCATTGCAAGTCTCAGTGGCATGCCGACAGGTGAATTGTTAGAAACGAAAAGAATGAACATGAAACTAAATGAATCGCTCACCTTGGCATTTGCGACCGCCATGCGAACATACTCTTCTCGAGTACGCATATCAGCTAGCGGAGGAAGATCGCAACCTTCCAACCTGATTCCATGACATATATGCGCGATATGTTTAGGATCTTCAGAAAAATTTCCTCCTGCGTCAGCTCGAGGCGCCGGAGGAACATACGCATGTCGTGCAGAACCAACCCTCGACTAACTATATCCAGACACTCTTCCATTCGAAGAACTCTCAGAAGCAGATGAGTCTAGACTCTCAGTGATTATATTGTCAAGATATTGACGACAAGCTCGACCGGCCGCAGCGCCATTCTCATCAGGACGATTACCCACAGACTCAGCTGACCGAGTCAGAATCGTTTGATTCTCAGCTGCCGGAAGAGTAATAGCCAGCGGTCGAACCATAATCCTGGGAGATCGAACATTTGACCTCGAGCAAAGAACTTGACCTTGGGAGATTTTCGAGCCCTTTCCGATGTTTAGACCTTGGGAGCCGCATCGGAGCCACAGGGAGAAGGACTCCTCCTTCTTACCTCTACAAGTAAACGAAAAAAAAAACAACAACAAAACGACGATTACATAAAGAAAGCAATTTTCAGCACTTAAAAGATTCGAAGAGAGAAATAACTCACTAAGACGACCACCTCGTGGACGATTCGGGTTCACTAAACCAACATGTTCAGCTCGACCTTGTCCCCAAAAAAGGGCAAGAGCAGCCATAATGCGTTCCACGGTGAAGGAAGACCAGCGAGTCTCACCTCGGCAAAGAGTCTCTACCAATCCCCAAAGCTCGGGTGTCATCAGGGCGCCTCCGAAAATCTTTGCATTTACGAGGAATAAAAGGAATCCGTAAAAAGAAAGTAATATGAACGCAAGAATTAACCCTCGATGTAAAGAAGAACGAACCTATATCTCCTGACCAATCGCGGGGGAGTCGATTGAAGTCGAAGTCTCCAACCGAAGCAGAGTCTATCTTGAAAACGAAAAATTTCTCCCTCCATCTGTCATCTCGACGACGAATACCCTCGATGACAGCACGACAATCGCGACGAGCAAGAAGATATGTACCGGGAAAACGAGCGTTATGCTTAACCGTACAAAGTTGTTTGAATTCCTCTAAACCAAACATGATACCTTCCTCCTCAGCTCGAACCCACAAACCCAGAAAGTAGCGAAGAAAGTTGGGGCACACAAGAGTGAAAGACATCCTCATCTCAGCAAGAGCTTCAAGAAGGAATGGAGGAAGTGGAAATGAAAGACTGCAGTCTTTAAAGTGCGTCACGTAAGCGCCGCAGTACCCGTCGCGAATGCGCTCAGGATTTTCGTCGCCCATCGCGATGTCGATCTGCACCTCGTAGGGAATTCCCCACAACTCATGAATGCTATCAAGATTTTTTCTCTTTATAATAGTTGGGAGATGAGGAGGAAACCGAATATTTTCCATCGAGATATCGCAAACTAAAAACTGAGAAGCTAAAGAAGAAAAGGAAATTCAAAGAAATTGCATGACATTGGATGCTCTCAATGAAGAAGATGGCCTTATTAATGAGGATCTAAAAACGGTTCTCAAAGCGGAAGACGTTGACGAACAACCTCAACCGCACGATGGAGGAAAGTGGCCGACAAGGATGATACATGTGGCACCGCTTTCTCCGAGATGGGCGATGACAAACTGTTAGATTTAGCTTCTCGCCTCTTCAGTTTCTCCAAGTAAAAAAGGTTGGGAGGCAAATGTTTGACCCAAAATTGGACCCATTAAGTTCAAGCTCGTCAAAGAAGTGAACAAGCAAGTTCGAGGAAGTACAAAGAGAACGGAGTTGAGCCCGATGTCCAAAACAAGGCCCAAGCCCAAGTTTTATCATCACATCGTGACCAGCGGATTCTACGCGGTCGGAATGGGATCCGAAGATCGCTGAAGCAGATAGAGGACGAAGGGCAATAAGAAGAGAGCTAGGAAGGACATTGGGAGGGACACGAGAAAAATCCTAGAACTATTCACTAATCAGATCGACCTCATTCCTTAGATTTCTAGTTCGCTTTCGTGTAATCCTTGATGTTATTCCAATCTTGTTCATCACCTTGTAAACAAATTTTACATTCCATAAAAGTACATTTTTGTCAACCGAAGTCCGATTATATCTTTGTGTTTAAAAGCATCATTTCCCACATCTTTGTTTTCCCCTAATTGAACTCTCGATCTTTACAAAATATTGAGTGTGATATTTAGTGGAGTAATCTTTAGGAGCAATGACGAGCCCACGACCCTTCCTTGCACCGCGAAAGACAGTCTCAATAATATCAATGAACTCCTCCTTGTCCTTTAGCCCTATTGATTTTGTTGTTGTTACCAGTTCCAAAATCGATCATAATATGCTTGTTCCTAAAGAAGAACATGACCGTTGAAGGATCATAAAGCTCGTACATGGTGTTAAAATCTGGAACCTCAGTTATGTCCACCAGATAGATCATAGCAAAGTTCTTTATCGTCTCAGCAACAGACGCCAGCACCTCCTCCATCTAATGACAAATCAAAAAGTAAAACCCAAATTCTCATCAGTTCCAAGCTAAAGAACATTCTAAATGGTGAAATATTCAAACAAATAACAATCAATACAAAATAATTCAATCTTCTAGAGTGGAAGGATATGATTCGAAATTTAAGCATTATTTTAACGAGAAATAAAGTTTGTTATTCACCTTAATATTAACTGTACAAACTATAGCTAACGTCACTTATAAAGTTAGCCGGTATATACAATGAAACCAATTACACAGTAACCAACAGTAAACCGGTATTAAACCATATATCCTAAGACATTACATATCGAATCCAACAGATAATCTGATTCGAGATCGAGAAATGGTAAAAGGGGAAGAAACAGTAATTTGGGTTAGGATTGTAGGCCCAATAATGTTGAGTCCACGAGATTGGAAAATGGACGGTGGAAAAGATATTAGACCACGAGACTCTGGTATGGGTTACCGTAGGTGATTAAAATCTGTAAAATCTTATTATCCTATCCAAAAAGTCATCATAGAGAGATCTATCAACATCCATTTGAAGGCGCTCTGATCTCTCTTTCTTTTTTTCCCTCTATATCTTTCTTAACAGATTCCAACACTCACTTCTCTCTTAACTCTCTGCTCTATCGGAATCCATGGATATAGCTTCTTCCTCTCCCTGTCAAGCTCACAAGGTAGTAGCTCTCACGCGTCAACCTTCTTCCCCGGTCAACTCTAGCTCCTTCACCTTTATCGGATTCTCGCTTCCGCAGCAGATCAGCTCTCCTTCTCTAGCTAAATGTCTCCGAAAACGAAGCTCTTCTGGGTTTGTAAGAGCTTGTGTTGCTGTTGAACAGAAAACCCGAACTGCTATCATCAGAATTGGCACAAGGGGAAGGTAAAGTCTTTCTCTTTTTTGGCTCCTCGTGTGATCACTAATCTCTTCTGAGTATATGAGTGCTTGAATGATAATGGTTTTGTCTTTGTTTACTTAGTTCTGATTCAAAGTTTCGATTTTTACCAGTCCTCTGTTTTGGATCCTCTTCCTGAGTTTTAGTGTGTTATAGACTTATAGTGAACAATGTCATGGTTGAATGTTTTAGTTGTAGTTTATCTTGCTAGAGAAGAGATATGTTACTTTGGTTTCAGTGAGTTAATAGTGGACAGTGTTATGGTTGGATAATTTATCTGTCTAGAGATGTGACATGTTATCTCTGCATTATTTTTGTGTTTGTAGTAACCAAATCTTGTCTTGTTATTGATTGCGTGTAGTCTCTAATGTACTCTCACTGTGTAGGACAGTCCTCTAGCGCTTGCTCAAGCATACGAGACACGAGCAAAGCTCCAGGCAATACACCCTGAACTCACTGAAGACGGAGCTATTCACATTGAGATCATTAAAACTACTGGTGATAAGATTCTCTCTCAGCCGCTTGCTGACATTGGTGGGAAAGGCCTTTTCACCAAAGAGATTGACGAGGCCTTGATAAACGGCCATATCGACATAGCAGTCCATTCCATGAAAGATGTCCCGACTTATCTACCGGAGAAAACGGTTTTGCCTTGTAACCTTGTCCGTGAAGATGTCAGAGATGCTTTTATTTGTCTTACTGCTGCCTCTTTAGCTGATCTTCCAGCTGGAAGCGTTGTGGGAACAGCTTCTCTTAGGAGAAAGTCGCAGATACTCCACAAGTATCCTTCATTAGCTGTACGTTTTGTGTCACCAAATAGAGGCTGCCACTTCTTATTGATATTAATATGTGTGTTATTACCTCTGCAGGTTGAGGAAAACTTCAGGGGTAATGTGCAGACAAGACTAGCGAAGCTTCAAGGAGGAAAAGTACATGCAACTCTATTGGCACTAGCTGGTCTTAAGAGACTGAGCATGACAGAGAATGTTGCGTCGATACTATCTCTCGATGATATGCTTCCAGCTGTTGCTCAAGGAGCAATTGGAATTGCCTGCAGAACTGATGATGATAAGATGGTATGTTAACCTCTCTGAGCTAAACTGATGATGTTTGCTTTTCATGGGATGAAAAATGAGTCTACTGTTGTTTTACCTCTGCAGGAAAGTTACTTAGCCTCACTGAACCACGAGGAAACAAGACTAGCAGTTGCGTGCGAGAGAGCGTTTCTTGAAACGCTGGATGGCTCATGTCGTACTCCTATTGCTGGATATGCGGCCAAGGACGAAGAAGGCAACTGCTTTTTCAGAGGATTGGTTGCCTCACCTGACGGTACTCGAGGTACGAAAGCATCCCTACATGTACCTATGTGACATACCCATCATTCATTTCTCATCTGTTCCGTCTTTGTGACAGTTCTTGAGACGTCAAGAAAAGGTCTATACGTGTTTGAGGACATGGTGAAGATGGGAAAAGACGCCGGGCAAGAACTGCTTTCTCGTGCCGGTCCAGGCTTCTTCGGCAACTAAGCCATTTGAAGAGGAGGAAGAAGAGCTGTGACATGGACAGAGTCTAGGGTTTTAGGAATTTTCCAACATTATAGATCCCTTTCTTCCTCCTAAATCTGTTGTAACTTTTTTGATTTAGAGAGAAAGATACCCTTCTTGTATTGATGGTTTTGTTGTATGCAGAGATAAGATTCCTCTTACAATTGTACCTTTTTTCATCTCATAGTGAAACTCGTTCCCAATTACCGGAGTTACTCAGTCTGTAATCCAGCATCAGTTTTTCATTGCACAACGCTCTTGTAGCCACTAGAACAAGCGTCTTCAGTACAGGAGCACATACAGTAACAGAGACAGGCAGACAAGACACGTATGTGAAATAATGTTTGTACAACCCACAGAAAAAGTCAGTCTCCTATCATGCTCTGACAGGCGAGGAAGGCCCCTAACAGCTGATTTACTAGCTAGTCCTCCAACTTCCATTTATAAATGGATGAAAAATACATTTTAGTAATGTGTGGCAATGTTCATTATATTAAAAATATATATAAGTTACAAAAAACAGAACCAATCATTACATTCAACATCACAAGCATTTTCACAATTTTCAGTTTGGAAGATTTTCTATCTTCCCATCAAATGTTCTCTAATCTCTTTACTTCTATTTACTCCGCTTTAAGCCTAAACAGCTTCTTCTGCTTTTGATTTGTATACTTTTAACAAAAAGAATGAGGGGCAGTTAAATGACAGAGAAACTGACCATTTTCTTTAATCCATAGCCGTTTTGTTTCTCCGACCAGTTAATGGCTTTGGTAATCCATCAAAGATTGAGCTTGTAATAGCCGCAGGTGTAAGCAAATCAGGTTTCAAACTCCATTTTGAAGTCGACCATAGAGACAGTGATGATGAACCGTTATTACTGTTACCGCCTGGATCTTGTAGACTAGATGCGCTAGACGATTTTCTTACACTGGAAAAGCTGTCTGAAACTGGAGCTTCCACCATCAAGTTGATTGGTACCGGATAGAAATTACAAGTCTCAGATTCTGCTGATAGGTTAGTTCTACTTGAGGCTTTCGATCTCAAAGCTAAGCCTTTTCCTCCTATTGGTAAAAACCCGCCGTTGCTGCTACTGTTCTTCTCTTCTTTCAACAGAAGCTCTGGAGTCCGGGATAAAAAGTCTGCTTCAGATTTTTGGCGTCTTCTCATAAACTTATTGGAGTTCGGTTCTTGAGAGATGGGTGATTGGTTGACCTCTTCGAGAAGTGCATTGACTAAGCTTCTCGATTTCCTGTTGTGGTTTAAGGGAGCATTTGTGGATGGGAAAGGTCTTAGGTATTGATTATCACCGTTGCTTTCTGTCTTGTACGTACCCATCTCCAAGCTTCCTCCTACAGAAACTGTTCTGTTTGGTGGTTTTAGCCCGTAATAACCTTGCAGTGAATACATGGCTGAAGAAACTTTCGTATCCGAAGATTTTAATCTCAGAGACTGGAATGAGTCAAACACGTCGTTAATGCCATCGTTCCGTGAGTCCAGTTCATGGCATGAACATCCCTCTCTGTAAATAAAAGATTCCACATATCAGATCCATGAAAAGAGTATCACTTGATAATGAATATGTCCAACACAATTAATGCTCCACTTTGGGAGACAGACAAGAAACAAAGCTTGAGTAATAATGTAAACTGCTCTGCAATAAGAATCCATGACTGCAAAGATGTGTGATTAAGTACCTACCCGTGGTGTAAGGAGCCGTTAGATAAACAAGGAGAAGGAGGATGTCTTCCAGGTAAAGGGATCCGGAGAGACTTGAGAGCAAACATCTGAAGATCAGTAACAAGCCCATTCATCTTTTTCACATCTGCAACCTGAAAAACAGAACATTTTTACCACATTTTTTTTTTAAAAAAAAGAGAGAGAGTAAAAAACAATAACATCAGAACATAAAAAAAAACATAACACTTTATGTCTTTTTATTCCACATGTGTTCTTCATCATGTCTCAACATAAAAATAAAAAGTTATCTCTTTTTACCAATAACATTAAAATTCAATTTTCTACCTTTACACCAATGTATATCAATATTAAGCAAAAAGGTTTAAAACAATGTTACCTCAACACCGTATTTAATGGCAACGCCGGCGAGAGTATCGAACTTGGAGACGCGGTGCTCGATATAGCCGCCACGGTCAGGGGAATGAGAACCATGATACGGAGAGGAAGAGGAGGAAGAAGGTGGAGGAGGAGAAGAAGACGGGGAAGGGATACGAAGAATATTCGATCTAGAAGGAGGACTCATTTCACGGGATGTATAATAATCTCCTCCTCCTCCTCCGTAACCGTAATTGTTATTATTATCATCGCGGAATTTTCCGTTACTGTATTCAGGTGTCCCGTTACGATTAGAAAGCCTTCTCTCTCGATCCATAAACATAGTTTATCTATCTATCTCTTAATTCTAGATCTGATCACAAATTTTTAAAAAACATCAACGAGGGGGGAATGTAATCGGACGGTGAGGGAGAGGCGACTACATTAAAATGAGGAATCTGTGAGAATCTGATGTAAATTCTCTTCTTCTTTTTTTTCCCCCCGGGAAAAACGAACGAGAGAGATCTCTATGCTCCTACTTTCTCGTCGCAGCGGTGGATTTATAAACAAGTTTTATTTGAGGCGAAAAGAAAAACTAAATAGGTTCGACTTTAACTGCATTATTGTTATGAATTTATTTAAGACTATGCTTTCAAATATAAAACCATTGATATCAAAGGTTTTTGGACATTGATAAGTTGATTAGTAGATTGTTTTCATTCTATTTTCAAAAATCATGTAAACCACTATTTTATAATAAAATGTTGGAGAACTTATTGAAGATTATCAACGTGAGATTCTGATACGGACAATAACAAATTATCTGCATATTAAATAAATTAGGTTGTTGACAAAAACATAAATAAATTAGGATGCTCCTCGCTGGATAAATTAACAGGTTCTAAAGTCAAAAACCAGGTCTGTATGTTTGACAAAATAGAGCCATAGTATGTCGGCGAAGGGGCAAGAGTTAATTAAATACATTCTTCTTTGCCTAACCAAATTACACAACTATTAAATAAAACAATTTATTTGAAACCATACCAAATGGCAAATGCACTGTACTGTAGTAGTGCTGTGGCTGAACGAGGGACGAATGTCATGTTAGTTGTAGTAATATAAATATAGAAGTTTAGCAAACTAACAGAACAAACAAAGGGGATGTAGCTCAGATGGTAGAGCGCTCGCTTAGCATGCGAGAGGTACGGGGATCGATACCCCGCATCTCCAATTTTTTTAATCAAAACGCCATTTTGAGAGTCGATTCAGGCTTCATTAACATGCCTGGCCACTTGGATACTTTTTGGACTGGACTTTTCACGTATTCTTTTCTTACACTTCAAATTCTGCCTAACATATGTAGTAAGTATCACATCAGATCAGGTGGCCAATTTTGAAATCGAAGTGTAGTATTTAGACAAATCCGGCCTTGATCATATAGAATAAGGAGCTGGAATCTGAAAAAGACAGTTGCAAAAGAAACAAGACAACCTTACTAATTACATCTGAATCACCCAAGCGATTTTAGATTCAAAAGATAAAAAAAAAAACACAAATCTAAGCTAAAATGTAAAGAGCTTATCAACAACACCAACCAAGACCACAATTTTTTTTTGCTTCTTTACAGAGAAATGCTACTAAAAAAAATAATGTTAAAAAGAAAAATATTCCCCCGCTTCTTGATTAGCTTTGTAGATTTGGCTGTTGGGTATCAAGTTGCTGATCTGGTTGAGGAACAGAAACACCACCACCACCACCACCATTCATTCTAGCTCGAGCTTCTGCAAACATTCTCTGTTGTTCAGCTGCTGCTTCCTCTTCCGTCATCTCTGCTCCCGTGTTCATCTTCACACTCCTCTGTGAATCTTGCTGCAAGATTCACAAAACAATTTACAACTTTTAAATTTATTTTAATTTCTTGTCTGGAATTTTTAAGTAACGAGGATCTTTTACCATGGTTTCATATTTATGTTGCTCATAAGCAGCATAGACTTCTTCAACGTATTCCCCAAAGCCAAGAACCTGAAGTGCTTTGAGTACATGCTCAGGTGCGATTGTTCGTTTATCCTCCTTGTTACACACTTCATTAGACTCTGACGATATAAGATTTATAAACTCTGCCACATAACCCAATGATCAGCTACATACATACACCTAATTAAATAAATTATGGTTGATATTATAACAAAAATATATCAAAATCTTACCAACACAACACTCGATGAGAAGATCTTGAGCATCTCTAGCAACACGAACATCTGCTGGTAACATCTCCTTTATAATTTTTGTCATTGTAGCTGTAAAATTTTACAAACACATGCAATCCTTAAAATAGTGAAAACAACAATAATTGAATTATATTAGATCCAAAGGAAAGGAGAAAGAGGACGAACCTTTTGGAAGCGAAGCATCTTCCTTAGATTTTCCAACTATATCCATCGGATCCATCTTTTTTTAATCTCTCTACAGAAATCGCAATTCAAAAACGATAATCAGATAAACAATTGAATATCTAGATACGAAAATCGAGTACCGAACCTAATTAACGAGTCTCGAGACCAAGTCGCGGCGGAAAACCGGATGTGTTGCACGGAAACTTATCGGCGTTTTTTTCTTTTTCTTTTCTCTCTAGACGCAGAAGTTGATTAGGGCAAAACATTAAAACCAAATATAAGCGCGTGAATGCCACCTTTTCCCCAAAACTGATTGACGGCGCGTATGATTATATTATTATAAACTGGGCTTTTTGCTGAACTTTCGTATTTGGGCCATAGGCTGATCCATAGTGATCAGGCCTGACCCGACTCGTTTCAGCGTTCTGTTTTTTTTAATCAACCATTCTGTTAAAGGTTGGGCAAGTTTGTCATTATGAGGGGGGTTTACTTATTTACGTTTGGTATCAGACAAATGACACGAAGTGTCACCACTAACACAAACTAAGATATAATCATGTTATATTTGATAACTTGATCCATTATCTAATCAGTTGAGAGAGAGAGGCGACATGTACGCCACTATAGGCTAATAAAATATCCACAAATGGTATCTCATCATAATTTTAGTTGACTGATCCAAACTCCACTATACTGTCTCCTTCCTTTTGTTTGTCTGTGTGGCTTCATAGATTGATTCCTCTACTCCAAACCTCTTATTCCTGTTTTTTTTCTGTTTTGTCCCAGTTTTATATGTAGATCAGTAGATGCATGTGTGGTTTGAATATTTGTACATTTATCATTTTATATTATTTTGTTAATTTGCCTTTATCCTTGATTGATGAGGAAATGAAATAAAATCCAGGTATTACTACTTCCGGTTCTGACCATTTAATCTTTCAGATCTGATATTTATTTTTGTTTGCTCCAACTCGGGAAACTTTCTTTTCTTTTTATGGTCAAATTGTTTTTTTTGTTTCGCTTTTTTTTTTCATTTCAATAAGAAGAGTGAAAGTCGCTGGAGGCAGCGGTTCATCGATCTCTTCCTCCTGAGAATATTTATTGCTGTTGGAAAGAGATTTAAAGCATGAACAGATCGATAAACCTCTGCATCCAGCGGTTGCCTCTTCATCAATCGTCACCTCTGACTAATCTTTTTTAATCAGATACAGAAAGTATTAGTATGTAAACGATTTGATAGAGTGGGGGGGGGGGAACATAGTCAAGAAAGAGTATTACCTGAGAGACTTAAAAGAAAACAAATTACTTTGAGTTCATAGGAGAAAATAAACTGGATACTGTTTTTTTTTTTTTTTTTTTGTAAAACGTTAAATCTGTTTAGTTTCTCTGTGTTTTTGTTCGTTTGCTAACTGAGTATACATATATGATATATGTTCATACTGTTGACTGATATGCCTTTTGCTTTAACTTACAGCTATCAAGTGGATCTTAAATTTGATTAAAGAAAGGAAGATTTTATGGATAGAAGAATCTTGGTATGACTTATTATTCATTTTGTAGGTTACTTTCTTGGTCTGACCCAACAATGATCCCCTGTTTAAAGAAGTGTGTTTAGCAGCCTCCATGGATTCTCTCTGGTTGAGATCTTTTAGCGCATACAGTAATATCTTGTAGCTTTGTGTCCTTTTAGAACATGAGGGTGTTATTATCATATTATGTTTGATGCAATGTCTTGGTTTCATAAAGTAATGGATGTAAATAAATTCATCATTACTTAACAAGATATTTTGAGCCCTGGTCTAGATCTTAGTTTCTCTACTTAGTTTTTATGTTTCCCGTTTGAAGTCGCGGCTGTAGTTCTTGTTTCCGAAGCGTCTTGCTACCGTTGAGAGCTGATTTGGGGTAACAAAAATGTAACACGGCAATAATCAATTTTCACTCCAAAATTGTGTAATAAAAACAAATTCTGTTCAAGTAATGTGTTTCTGATTTCCTCCTTGTTATGCATCTTCATCAAATTTAACATTATTAATCTTTTTATGATTATTTATGTGAAAATTCTACTCAACTAAAAGTTGCTTGTTAGTCAAGTGTTTAATGTTATGTAACATTTCATATTCGTCTCACATACCAATCAAAGAGATTGAAAAACTCTTAAGAACAATATAAGATGGGAGTATTCCTGCCCTCATAGGCCCAACTATTTGGCCCATTAACTATAACTCCCACTTTCTTTCAAAGCCCATATAGACGTAGGGCTTCCAATATTTTGTTTCTATAAAACCCTTCACGCCTACTTGTCATAAACCCTACTTGTTTCCGCCACTCTTCCGCTAATTTCTTACTCTTGTTAGCTAAACATGGGAAGCGACACAGAAGCAGAGAAGTCGATTCAAAAGGAGAAGAAGAAAGTCATCTCTCTCGCTCCCATCGCTAAACCTCTCGCCGGGAAAAAGCTCCAGAAGAGAACATTCAAACTCATTCAAAAAGGTACAAATCTGGTCTTACTAATACATAGTTCCATCGTACGTGCGAGCTCGTTCAGTGTTTTATTATTTGCTGGAATGATTGTTAAGAGTTTTTGTTAATTTTCCTTGGTTTAGATGCTTGAACAAGAAGTTTCCTCTGATACTGTATTGGTCTTGTGCTTTGTAACAGCTGCTGGAAAGAAATGCTTGAAAAGAGGCGTAAAGGAAGTGGTTAAGAGCATTAGACGTGGACAGAAAGGGTTAGTGTTTTTTTTTCCATGTAATCTTATGTGTCTTGTTTGTGTTGGATACGTGTACAAATAAGCCGATGCTCTGGATTTTAAAAGTAATGAATGTAGCATGGTACTGTACACGAAAATTGATTTATGGATCGACATGTCTGCCATCTCTGAGTTTTAATATGATTAGACGGCCTGGTTTAGATCCACATTCTTTTTTTTTAATTAGTAGTATTGTTATTGTTTTATATGATTCGTGTACAATTAAGCCGATGCTCTGGATATTAATAGAATGAAGTTAGCATGGTACTGTGCACGTAAACTAAAGCGGATCGACATGTCTGCCATCTCTGATTCATTTTGTGATGAGACGGCCTGGTTTAGATCCACACTCTAGTCTTTGTTTAGTTCAGTAGTTGAAAATCATTTCTGACTTTCATTAATATAATTGTTTGTTTTTAGTATAATTATGTTTCACTTTGTAGTATTATTCTACTGTAAATTCGTGTACAATTAAGCCGATGCTCTGGATCAATTAGATGAAGGAAGCATGGTACTGTGCACGTAAACTAAGCTTACTGCGGATTGATATGTCTGCCCTCTCTGAGTTTTCTTTGATTTGAGGGCCTGGTTGAGATCCACATTCCTTGTTTTTTTGCTTGTGTTTTCTTTGTTTTGTTCCTTGTGTTTATGTTATGATCCGTGTACAATTAAGCCGATGCTCTGGATTAAAAGTAATGAATGTAGCATGGTACTGTCCACGGAAACTGAACCATGAGTTTTAAATGTCTGTGCCCTCTCTGAAAACCTTAATAGGTTCTTTGATTTGCGGGCCTGGTTTAAACCCACATTCTTTTTTATGTTTTGGCTATTTGATTGAACTTTTTGTTCCTACGGTGTGTGTTGTAATAGATTGTTGTTCTTTTTGCAGGATATGTGTGATTGCTGGAAACATATCTCCCATTGATGTGATCACCCATGTTCCAATCTTGTGTGAGGAAGCTGGTATTCCTTACATCTACGTTCCATCCAAAGAAGTAAGTTTTTAATGTTCTTCCTTTAAGTTCTATATTCCCCTATTGTTATGGATTTGTCTCGGGTCTAAAAAGTCAGTGAATTGAATGTTTTTGTGTAATACAGGATCTTGCCCAAGCCGGTGCTACAAAACGACCAACTTGCTGTGTCTTGGTCATGCTTAAACCTGCAAAAGGTGAGCTAAGTGCAGAAGATCTCCAAAAGTTGAAGTCAGACTACGAACAAGTCGCTGACGATGTTAAAGAGCTTTCATCTTCTGTAATTTGATTAGTAACTAGTATCAAAGAACACTCGAGCATGTGTGTTTCAGTTGTAGTTTTGTTTCCTTATGGATATGAAAGAGTACTTTTATAAAAATCCTTGAACAATGCCTATTGCAGCTCCAAAATATCCAAAATTAAAACAACCTTGTTTTTATGTTTATATAGATCTAATTGATTAGTAGAGCGAACGTGAACCGTAGGATCTCTTGACGTTAACTGGATCTTGTATTTATAGCTCGTTGAATTGAAATTAATGTATTGGTGGTTCGGTTCTAAATTCTAATCGGTATTTTAATTTATCAAACCATTCCTTACGGTTTTATTGGTATTTAGCCGAACTTTTGTTATTTTTTGTCAACGGTTTTTAACCGAACAAAATAGCTAACTGCAACCCCTAATTAATTATTTAAAATTAATTAAATGAGTAAAAACTCCTCGTATAAGCTGACATGAATGCTTCAATCGAGATCTGGAAAATGCGAATCTGAAGGATCTTCGAAGTGTGTAAAAAAATCTTCAATCAGATCCAAAAAGAGGAAGGTATGGGGTGTTCGTTTTCGGGATTGAACGCGCTTTACGACAACGGCGGAGGCGACGTTTGGATCAATGAGAATCGTTTCAGGATCGTTAGGCAGCTCGGCGAAGGCGGTTTCGCCTTCGTCTTTCTTGTGAAGGAGATCGTCGCCGACGCTGCTTCCGGTGGCGGTCTAGCGACGAAAGTCAAGGATCCAGCTCATCTCTCCGGTTAGGCCTGCCTCTGGATCGTGATTCTCGATTTCGCTAGGCCTTGATCTGCGTTATATCGATTGGATCTGATGTTGTTGATTAGATTTGATAGAGATCCTTTTGTTAGCTAGAAATTGTTCCCAGGAATCAATGTAGTAATCGTATGTGTGTTTGATTTATAATTGGAATCGTTGAATCTTGTTTCGATCTTGTGTAAGTTGTTTGATCCGTGGCGCATCTGAGATTCTGAAGTTGAATTTGGTTGATACGCAAAACAGAGTGATTATAGTGAATTCACTGTCATATACTTTGATTTTGAATCTCAGATTCTTCTGATTATAGATAATAGGCATTACAGTGAATCAACCTTTATATAGATTGACTTTGGTGATCATTTGATCTTTTATATAGCGGTTTGATCCAGATGAATTGGTTATTTAACTTCTTTCATGTTTGTATCATGACTGTGGTTTCTATATGTGATTTTCATTTGTAGCGGATGGAACTTATGCGATGAAGAAAGTTCTGATTCAGAACAAGGAGCAGCTGGAACTGGTGCGGGAGGAGATTCGTGTTTCGTCCCTCTTCAACCACCCTAATTTGCTTCCTCTCCTTGACCATGCCATTATTCCTGTTAAGGTAGCTCTAGCTTAAAAACTTTCTATGGTTGATGTTTTGTTGAATACTTGTCTCTCTCTGGTTTTGAAAGTGTGTTGCTTTTGATAATGGTAGGGCGGGCAAGAGGGAGCTGGGAAACACGAGGCATTCTTGCTATTTCCTGTTCACCTAGATGGGACCTTGCTGGATAATTCCACAGCGATGAAGGCTAAAAAGGAAACATTCTCAACAACTGATGTTTTGCATATATTTCGTCAGGTATCTTTGGTTTTTGTGGCCTAGCTTGTTAGTTTCTAAACTTTTTTTTCCTGCAGTTTTCGTTATATTTTGCTACTAACTATTACGTTATGCTGTTTTAGGATATATTGAGAACCATGTGATTAATCTTATGAGTAGAACCATGAGATATATTGAGAACCATGTGATTAATCTTATGAGTAGAACCATGAGATTTATTGAATGATTAGTTCTGAATTGCAAGTGTTTTGATTTCCGAAAGTTATCCAACTGCAGCTTTGTGATGGACTCAAACACATGCACTCTCTGGAGCCACCATATGCTCACAACGATGTCAAACCTGGAAACGTGCTTTTAACACGTAGGAAAGGACAGACTCCTCTTGCGATTTTGATGGACTTTGGGAGTGCTCGTCCAGCACGGAAGCAAATCCGCTCCCGCCAAGAGGCATTACAGTTACAGGTTCTATATTCATACTCATCACAAGCCTCCGGGATCATGCTACTAGGCCTTATTGTTTATATATATATGTTCCCTTTCTGATTGATCATTCTTAAAGCTCGTCGCGTGAAAATTCTTCATGTTCGCTTGACTTTAATAGGAATGGACAGCTGAACATAGTTCAGCACCGTTTAGAGCTCCCGAGCTATGGGATTGCCCAAGCCATGCAGATATTGACGAGAGAACAGATATCTGGTCACTAGGCTGCACTTTATACGCAATAATGTAATACGATTATATCATCCCTCTAAGACTAGACAAAGACATGCATTTTGAAGCGAATTTTTTGGATATTCATTTTGTGGTTTTCTTGCAGGTACGGTGTGTCTCCGTTTGAATATGTACTTGAAGAATCTGATGGAAGTCTTCAGCTCGCAATCGTGAACGCCAAGATAAAATGGCCAAAGGCGGCAGGTGCAAAGGCTTCTTATCCTGAAGCTCTTCACCAGTTCGTGACTTGGATGCTTCAACCTCAGGCTGCGGTTCGACCTCGCATTGACGATATCATCATCCACGTTGACAAACTGATCGCAAAGTTCACCTAATGATTCCTTATTCCGGTGGTATAATCTAAAGAGTTAAAACTTTTAAAAGAAAAAGGATTTTATATACATTGGTTTATCGCTTTATTTATATGTTTAGCTATTTTGAAAAATCTCATATTAGATACGTATTAAAATACATTAAATTTTTCGTTTTATCTATTTGTAAGACTTCATTTAAAATAATGTTATATTATCAGACAGATTTCTTAAATCTAAACTATTAAAACTGAAGTACATTTTGTACTTAACCCTTATTTTTCCTAAATAATTACCATCCCATGCCACTGACTTTTATTATCAAGATTTTAGAATATTAGTTTAATCAACTATATTTAATTTATAGACTAACCAAAACTAACGTGTTTCTAAACCAATTATTTATCGGTTTAGTATTGTCTGCTAAATCAAATCCAATCTATTCAAAATCCAATTGACTACTATTATATATCTACCACACACACAAAAAAATCGATTCAATATATACCATGATAACTCAACCAAAATATATCATGACTATTCAAGCATGTGGTTTATACATGAACTGTTTCCCATATAAGTATTATTTTAATAGATTGTTTCTTTTGTAACATTTGTATGCTTTTTGATTGTTCTTAAAAATGTTTAAAAACTATTTTTGATGGACAATAATATGGTTCATATAATATGCAAAATATATTTGTCTGATTTTCGATTGTTCTTCAAAATATTTACAAAATATATTTTATGAACAATTTTTTAATTCGTATAATATTCAATATATATAATATCTATATATATATATTATGTTTTTTGAAACATGCAAAATATATTTATAATACGTTATTTGGTCAGTCAGTATAAAAATGTATATCCGGTAAACCAATTCAAAACTAATAATTCGTACAAAACTTAAATCAATAACTTTCCAAAATCTGTTCCTATTTTAAAGCAATCATCATAACTAGCAATAGCAATCTTATTAACACTATATCCATATTGTGTTTTCAAAACTTGCATATCACATTTGATTTAACATAGAAAATGAAAACGAAAAGTTCGGTCCCCCTTAATTGACATACATTATCTTTTGCAAATCACGTGTGACTTACTTACAAAACGAATATACTGTTTTAAACTCTTAAAAATGTATATTAAAATAATTTAAAGACATATATTCTGTTTTCTTCACATTCAAATCACAAGTTCACAACTGAAAACCAATGTTGTTAATATTTGTTATTAAACTTATCCCACTCGGATCAACAATATATATATATATATATATATATATATATATATATATCATGCCTTAAGCTTGGAAGCACATCATAATTCATTAAATATCCTAAACATGTCTAACAAGTAAGAACTCAAACTCAAAAAAATTAAACAAAAGTTTCTTACTATTTTGTTTTCCGGGAATAATCTGTTACAATCATAAGATTTGGACCTCATCTAATATTTCCTATTGTGATAGTCCATTTATTATCTTTACGCAGATAATTTATTAATAAAATTATAACTTAGGTTTTGATAATATAGCTTAATATATTACTTATTTTAAATACAGTACATTTCTGTAGTTTTTTAATTCATAATCTCAAATTTTAGTTTACATTTGAAACTAATAAAAGATGTTCCAGATAATAAAACTCCTATTTTTAGTTAGTTATTTATATATTTAATGCAAATCCAGTTAAATAAAAATACTAAAACAAACAACTAATATAATTGGCGGGTCTATAAATAATTAAGTTTGTTGCGTTTAAACCAAAATATTTGTGTGTATAATGTCATATTAAGCATATTTTCATATATATATATATATATATATATATTTTTTTTTTTTTTGACATCCATATATATATATATATATATNATTTAATGCAAATCCAGTTAAATAAAAATACTAAAACAAACAACTAATATAATTGGCGGGTCTATAAATAATTAAGTTTGTTGCGTTTAAACCAAAATATTTGTGTGTATAATGTCATATTAAGCATATTTTCATATATATATATATATATATATATATTTTTTTTTTTTTTGACATCCATATATATATATATATATATCTTATGTTAATTAGAAAATTATATTATCAAACATATAAAAATACTGGTCAATATAAAAAATAAAATCAACACCCGTGCGGGCGCACGGGTCAAAATCTAGTGTGTTTTAATATTAAAGACATAATACTTATTTTTCTTCTGTCATGAATCAATTTCACTCCATATTCTTGTTGTCCAACGGAACTGTTAATTGTTTAAGGGAAGGATCTTCTAGATTTGATGTTGATCAACATCATTTTAGTTATTTGAAGTTTATGTAATTATATATATAAAAAAGGTTAATATTAATTCCTAAAATTTGTTACCACTTTGTTTAGGTGTAAATCATTTTCCCTGTATAGTTTTATTCATCAGTCTCTAGATTCTCAACCAGTGTAATGAGAAACACTTGATCTTCAATCTACATAAATCACAACTTGATCTTTTGGTTGTCATATAATCATGCATATA